GAAATCAACTTCCTCTGCACAAGGTGCTGTGTGACTCCGTCAGTGTGAGAATACCCAATGACCGACGACGGAAGGCTTCTACCTTCAAGAGGCGAGCCACAGCTCTAAGCTATGGCCGTCGTCGATCAATACAACTATTCCGCTCTTCGTGAGCGTGGCCCCCAAGTTCGTCTACTGCTCGACGATGAAAACACATCTTTTCGACCCTGGAGGGGACGTCGATTCGACAGAGGCAGCATTTGCCAGGCCGATAGAACCACACCGTGGACGACCGGTTCCCCCTCCACCACAGTCTCTTCAGCTTTCTGCTGCCGAACCAGACTGCGCACAAGCAAGACCCACTGGGCGGTTCATTGTCCATTATCCATGCCGTCACCAACGGATTAGTCCACCGCCAACTGTGTACCACAGAGCCCCTTAGAGTGAACACCGCATCTGAGCTCTCCGGTACCGCATCAGGATGTGGAACGGCGTCCTCAGAGGACGCCACCAAAACCTTTGGACGTACACCCTGCCCGAGAGATATGTGAAGTTGGCTCGCGGATACCCAATCCGTCGATTGTCCACGCCATAAAAGCGGAGAAGAGACGGCGAGACCTCGCCATTTCTAAGGCCCTATCTGAGTGTGGAGTCACGATAAGGAACGAGACATCACCATCAACTGGTATTCTAGACTCATCCAGGATAAGAGCGCTCTCGAAGCTCGTGCGACGCCGCTGTTTTACCCTACCGGAGCTAGTGGGGGACTGCCGCCCCAATAAGGCCTTGTGCCCTCAGCGCTATGAGCTGCTGCTCCGAGGTTATCGTCACCAGCGCCTACTTCACTCAATTGCAACGGCCGGTATTGTGCGGGATGGCTCCGCCCATAATCCCATCAGAACAAGCGGCCCGCCAACCATCACTCGGCCATTCGTCATTTGTCAGCGGTAATCGCCAGTATACGCAAGGGGCAAGATGCCAGTCAGTCCCTTGTCGTTGAAGAGGACATTGCTGCGTGCCGATCAGTCCGTTTGGTGCTGTGGCCATGATGGACGTCGATCCGTCCGTCGAAGTTCGACTGATCCAATGGTCATGGATCATCCATGACCTCTCTTTCCCGATCTGTGACTCATCCAACGATGCATCCGACAAAGTGAGCTTTCCGAATGCCCACTACACAAACGTCGCAGTGATAGCGCGTCGAATTGATGAGTGTTGGGAGCTTCAGCCCGGTGTGCGCGTGTGCATCATGAAAGGCGATGTCAAGGGAGCGTTCAGGCACTTAATGCTATTGAGTAGGTCAGTCCGCTGGATGGGAGGATATATACCAGACTGCCATGCTCTTGTCATCG